TCCTTTTTTGATAGCCGTGGAATCGTCCACAAAGAATTCGTTCCACCGGGGAGAACTGTCAATCAAGTCTACTATTACCAAGTACTCGAAAGATTGCGAAAATGAGTCAACAGGCTGCGCCCAGTTTTCGCTCATAACTGGATCCTTTATCACGACAATGTGCCGTGCCACACCGCCCTCAGCGTGTCCTAGTATTTGCCCTGTAAATGGATCGCCGTGTTGCAACAGTCACCTTATTCGCGACATGTCACCCTGTGACTTTTTTTTTTTTTTGTTTCCTAAAACAAAATCGGTGGTCAAAGGAACCCATTTTGAGTCGATTAGTTTTAGAAAATTAGTTCTAGAAATGTTACGAAGCATGAAAAACGCACTGTATAGCTGCCCAAGGGGACTACTTTGAAGGGGATGGAAGAGTTGTAGAATAATTTTCAAATATATGGTTTTTATGTAATCAGTCTCATTACTTAATTTTTTTTTTATCCATATCGATGACATTTTGCATATGTCCTTTTCCTTTTCAAGAAGCTGCTCATTTGTGGAAACCGCCAATATCGGCCCTTAGCTAAGAGCTATCATGCAAACTAACCGATCGACATCAAGTACTTGTATGGAAAATTGTTTTATTTGATAAATAATTTTCACGATCGTTGACTTCTTGTAAGGAAAACTTTTTTATTTGACAAATCATCTTCACGAAATTCGACTCATCGGACGACTTTAACTACAAAATGTCTTCCGTTATCGTTTTTTCTTGATATGATTACAAAATCTTCAATTTAAATTTGTTTTATATTAAAGAGAATTAGAGATCTCTTAGCATAATTGGTCTTAGTTCCTTCTTAAAAATACATTCGTGTGACCGCTATTTTAGAGATATTTAATAGCAGCAATTTCTTCAAATGTGTGGCTTCACTCGAGTAAATAAAGTTGTTATGATTTGAACTCATACATTACAAGCTTTTCTTGGATTAAAAATCATAAAAAAACTCATTATACCTTTTACAGGTGCAAACAGGCATGGATATTTTCCGTGTCTTCGATTCACTAAATTATTTACCTAACTTGATTTTGGGTATGGAAGCTGCCGGCAAGGCCGGTGGCGTTGTTGAGGCTGCGATTTCCTATACCGGCGATGTAAGCGATCCCGCACGTACTAAATATGATCTCAAATACTACACCAACTTGGCCGATGAGCTAGTGAAGGCCGGCACACACGTACTTTGCATCAAAGATATGGCAGGCTTGTTGAAACCACAAGCGGCAAAGTAAGTCATTTATTTTTTATCGAATTTAACCACTCTCTTATTTATCTAATAAACATACTAATTAAACAATACACTAAAATGATACTAATGTTAACCCCAACGTATCTGTATTATCTTTTCACTATAATACTATAGATTACTTATCACCGCAATACGCGATAAGCACCCCGATATCCCAATACACATACACACTCACGACACTTCAGGTGCCGGTGTCGCTTCAATGCTCGCTTGTGCCGAAGCGGGCGCTGACGTTGTTGATACAGCGGTGGACTCTATGTCCGGCATGACATCGCAGCCCAGCATGGGCGCTGTGGTGGCGTCGCTGCAAGGCACACCGCTCGACACACAATTCGATTTGCGTGATGTTTCCGAATATTCAGCTTACTGGGAACAAACACGCACACTTTATGCACCCTTCGAATGTACCACTACCATGAAGTCGGGCAATGCCGATGTATACCTCAATGAAATACCCGGCGGTCAATATACCAATTTGCAATTCCAAGCATTCTCATTGGGTCTGGGTGACTTCTTCGAAGATGTTAAGAAAGCTTATCGCGAAGCGAATTTGTTGTTGGGTGACATTATTAAGGTGACACCATCATCAAAGGTTGTTGGTGATTTGGCGCAATTCATGGTTCAAAACAAATTGAATGCCGAACAAGTGTTGGATAAGGCTGAGGAATTGTCATTCCCCAAATCGGTGGTGGAATTCCTACAAGGTTCAATCGGTATACCACATGGTGGTTTCCCCGAACCATTACGCTCACGTGTGCTGAAGGATATGCCACGCGTTGAGGGACGCCCCGGTGAAAATTTACCTGCTTTAGATTTTGAAAAACTTACAAAGGAGCTAAAGGAATCTCATCCCCATATTAGCGAACGTGATGTTATGTCGTCGGCGCTTTATCCAGCTGTAACCGAAGACTTTTTATACTTCCGTGAGAATTATGGACCAGTTGATAAACTAGATACACGCATCTTCCTTACTGGACCCAAGGTGGGCGAAGAATTTGAAGTTGCCATTGAACGCGGCAAGACTTTGAGTTTGAAGACTCTGGCTATGGCTGAAGATCTGACACCAAACGGCGAGCGTGAGGTCTTCTTCGAGATGAACGGTCAACTGCGTTCAGTACTGATACGTGATAAGGAGGCCGTAAAGGTGAGTAAGCAGGGGAAACTAAGAATATTGAAGTCGTATAAGTGAACTCTGTTTTGAATCCAGCAATTATTGTTTGATAATGTTTTTGATATTTATGTATTTTTTTTTTTCATACACAGGAACTTCACATTCACCCTAAAGCCAACAAGTCGAACAAAAACGAAGTGGGCGCACCCATGCCGGGTACCGTGATCGATATTCGTGTAAAGGAGGGCGATACTGTTGAAAAGGGTCAACCTTTGGTTGTACTTTCGGCCATGAAAATGGAAATGATTGTGCAAGCACCAAAAGCGGGCGTAGTGAAGAAGCTAGAGATCATCAACGGCATGAAATTAGAAGGTGACGATTTAATTATGCAGATAGAATAAAAGTCACGTGCCACAAACCACTGAACTACACACAAACATACATAGATGCTCTCAAAACTATTGCTTAGACCGACTGGTCAGCTAATATAAATTATAAATGTAACTATAATATTTGGCGGTTTAGCTGGTCGCAAGCAAATACTGATATCTACTTAAATAAAGGAAACTTACAAGCATAAAATTAATGTGAATGTAGAAAAATCAAATGTTACAATTAATGTTGATATTTGTAGTAAATCAAAGGAGGAAAATGTTATATACAAGCATACATACTTACATACATACAAAACGGGAAAACTAGATACTTAAATATCTACTATATATTTATGAATATTTACCAAACCGTCATACATATATACATAATAACGGAACTTTCGGTCAAAACGAAATCTCTCAGAGAAAACCTTGGCTGTTTAATGCAAAAAAATGGCATTGTCAATTTAAGAAAAATAGTAAAACTAATGTGCATACAAGAACTTACATACATAACACACACAACTTCATTTTAAAGTTTGAACTTTTGTACCTTCATAGAGAATTTATATAATATGTACAATACCAATAACAAATATAAAACTTAATACTGTTATTGCTAATTAACGCAGCAAATGCGAAAAAGTTTTTGTAAACAACATTATTTTTTTATGTATTTTATGAGCAAACCGTTTTTACGCACAATTTTTTGTTCCATTCCGACCCACTGTGCAATTGACTTGAATTGTATATATTTTGTTAGTATACAAGTGAAAACTGCAAACAAACACATACATATATGTAGATATTTTCAAAAGACAGCTCCTAACAAGCTCAGACATGTGTACTTTGTTAGCAAATGTTAAGTAAAAAGCTAGCTTTTATTGTAAGTGATATATTGAATTCCTTACTTTTTGTATATGTGCATATATAGAGTGTATTAAGTTAAGAATTACTGTAGTGAGCATATTTTTTATAGAAATTCTGTTGATTATTCGATAGTTTTTATTTTTGATATCATGTTTCGTTAAAGTTTCATTAAAACAATTTAAAATATCTTTCAATTTATTAGAATGCAAATTAGTTTAAATAATTTCTGTAATGTAAAACATGTAAAAAATGTGTATATGTTTGAAATTAAATAAAGAAATGTTAATAAAAATATTGCACATATTTGCATATACATATTGTTATTATATTTTCACACTCTTTTCTGGATCAAAAGATAGCGAACAGTGTAGAACAGCCTATGCTCCTTCAGTATTCATAAGACCGCGATTATGGCCTCAAACCCTAATCAAAATCCTCAAACGCTCGCCGGCAGATCCTGAGGTAAGGACAAGGACACATTGTTGGCAATACACAAGGCAATCGGTCTTGTGGTAAAGACACACAATGCACTCCTTTCCAAGTAATTTCTGTTGGAAGATTTTCGCAGAAAACCAGATTACGGATGCAACAAACTCTAAACACATACAGTCCGCCATTCACAGTGGAGCCGTCAACATCTTCGTTTAACCACCATAGGTTACCACGGGAACTTAGGGTGGCTCTGGTTCTACATTGAAATTCGTTCTGGACATTGTATCAGGTTGAATTCCAACCTATACAGAATCGAGACAACATGCCAAACATATGTATGTCCACCGTAGAATGAGTCTCCGTAAGTTACTTATTACCTCTTTGCATGCCCCATGAAACCAACTCACTTAATCCCTTTCTCTCTTTGGTCCGAACCCGTCGAAACTGCTCATTTCCTGGGTTTACTGTTACATGTTACTTTCCCCCAAGCAGGGTCTAAAGGTCAACATGCCGATAAATCTAACAGACCTCTCCCTATGGTACGACTCAATCGAAAGAGTACAATTTCCTATTGTTAGATGATTTCGATGAACCTTACCATACAAGCGATAATTGGTTATCCGCTCGAACAACAAAAACAACATAATCGCGATATTTTTACGCACGGAAGCTAAAACATTGCTCGCCGCACCAGACCGCCTATTTAACAGAAATTCGGTTTCTAAATGACACAAAATTTTTTTAAATTTTTACAAACTGCAGTATTCATATTACTTGAGTAAACATAATGATATAATAAGTATAATCAAACAACACCTACACACTAAATGACACTAAATTTGTTTAAAATTTTTACAAATTCCAGTATTCATATTACTTGAGTAAACATAATGATATAATAAGTATAATCAAACAACACCCTAAAAATTTCGTTAAAATAAAATCTTTTGTTTTATTCATAATAATTGTACATTAATGTAAATTTGCTAACATTGATTTTTATGCAATATTAGCAAATTGTACACCAATCAACTCCATTCGAAGTAAATATATATACATACATATTTAAATGCCATTGACGATGAACTCGAGGAACATCAATTCCTTGGTCAGCTCATTGACACGTTTGTGGTGCCGCTGAAGGTATGGCGTAAGCACCTCCACTACATTACGCATGCCAGGCACGCCATGTTCAGTAGGCGCGCCAATGCAGTCACTCAGTAAGTAATGTAAAACAAGATTCGCAATTTTACAGTGCCGTGAATTTGTCGTCCATGCTTTCGCATGCTCCATGAGAGTAACACGTTGATCACAGTTCAATGCATTAATTAACTCACGAACAGGCTCTGCGTTACGTTCACGCACGTAGTCGCTCAGAATGTTGTAAGTTGTTTTAGGTTTGCTTAGTTTTAGCGCCAACATAAAAGCTTTTCTCAAGTTTTTCTTCTGATGTAGCAGCGATTGCAATGTTTGCTCTTGTTGCACCACCTCGGCACGTTTTTCAATTTCATCATTTCGACATACCGTTGTCACATCTTGCCATTGTATCAATTTGGAGTCTGCACCGCCGCTATAAAAGGATTTACCACTGCGTGTGGATATTGCTAGCGACCAAATGCGATCTGTATGCGCATCTAAAGTTTGCACACATTCGTTTGTTTTTATGCTCCACAATTTCAGTAGACCATCAGATGCTGCAGATACTACATATTTGCCATAGTCAATGAATTCAGCACGTAATACGGTACATTCTTGTTCGAACCGTTTAATACAAGTTAGCGTAGCTAAAGACCAAAGGCGTAGTGTACAATCGCTAGAAGATGTTAGAACGACTTGATCGGCTGGGGAGAAACGCACACACCAAACTCCACGCGTATGACCACGTAGTGTACCAATCAATGCATTACTGTCAGCGCTCCACAATTTGGCGGTTTTGTCTTGCGATGCCGTGGCCAATAACTTATTATTTGGTGAGAAACTGACGCTATTCACTTCTTTGTCGTGAGACAAAGCTGAATACTTCAAATTGAAGGAGTGTGGAGCATCCTTATTTTTCTTCAAATTCCAGACTTTAAGGCTGCCATCTTGTGAGACTGATGCAAAAAACGCTGCGGTATTACAACCAAATGCAATGCAACCAATTGTGGAAGTGTGACTGCTGTTATTGCGGCCCACACAGTTGAGTGTAAACGAATTTGGATTCACTCTCCATAAACATATGCTAAGATCTTTGCCGGCTGAAAGCAAGAGGTTAGTACCTCCAGCGGCTGATAACGTCATAACGGTGTCATTGTGACCACTCGCAATTTTGCAATTCATATTAGCTTCGGTATCATACATTTTAATATTTTTGCTGTTAGACGCTACAGCTAGGAAACGGTCATTCTCACCCCAAAAGCAAATATCCAGTATTTCATCATTGAAGCCGATTAACTGTTTTGCACATTCTAGCTTATTTGCAGCTACACATTCGTCAGTGGCTTTGTATATCAATATATTTTGTTCCACTGTAATCACAGCCAATTGTTCAGAGCGTTTACAATGTAATAATTGGCGAAATTCTTGGCTGGTATCTTCCGTCAATGTTGTTAATTTCGATGTATTACAATCCACCAATTTTAAAGCTCCCGACGCACATGATACAACTACGTTAAGAACATCTGGGCTATTATTATTTTTAACTAAGCACGCTACGCCCTCTAATTCTTCAAACATTGGTATAACTTTATGTTGTGATGCATCAGCAAGACGCCATACAATTAAAACTTTGTCCCGACTTACAGATGCCAGGCAATCGCAACCATTTTCACCGCCTAAAAATGTTATAGCCGTAACTTGCGAAAGATGACCACGCATTTGGCGCAATAATCGCTTTTCAGCATAATTCCAACAATATATCGTGTTGTCAGCACCAGCGGCATACACCTCTGTCCGCTTAATATCTGGATGGAATGCTAAAACCAGTGCAGGTCCACTAAATTCTCGTAGAGCACACATGCATGTACTATGCACATAGTCCCATATGCGCAATGAGGAATCAGCCCCACTGGAACATATAATATTTCCGCATGTGCTAAATTGTACTTTCACTATTGGACCTTTGTGCTGACTTTTCCACAATTTAACAACCTTTCCAGATTCGACAGACCATAAACGCAACAAGCCACTACGGTGAGCAGTTACAAGCAATGTATTATCAGGCGAAAGTGAAAAACAAGGAATTTCATCTTCCAACTGATCATCTTCGTTCCTTTCTATTTTATTACCCGGCGTTAAGTCATTAGTACTGTAAGCACGTACAAGTTTACCAGTAGATACATTTATGGCAGAAACTTCCGTGTTGTTTAAGCAATATATGCATTCACCATCTTCAGACCAAACAACGTCTCCCCCACCATAGAAATTGCTGAATTTCGCTGAAACCGCAAAACTATTGCAATTACACAGATATATTATTTAGCATTGTATATTATTCATAAAATATTACTGTTTCTCACCTTTTCTCACACAAACCTGACATAATCATATTTGAACACTAACAAAAATATGATACTTTCAAGTCACAACGTGTGAACTACAGAGGCACTCATAAGATTAAAAACTTAAGATTTTTTATTTACACAGATGTTGCAGGGTGGCTGTGATATTCCATCGATCACATTTTATAAAAATAAAAAAATATTTTAAATATATCGATACAGTTGAAGCCGCTTTTGCTGCTACACCCCAAAAGAAGAATGAATTCTCGCCTCACAACTCATTTCACGTGTCTACAGAAATTAGAGCATTAATACAGAATAATAGCGGGATTCTGTAACCAGTCTCTAGTCTCTATTTGAGACATTTTGTGGTAAAATCTCAATTTGTGACTAGTTACTATTCACTAAACAGTCTCTAGCTTTAGTCTCCAAATATTGCCTCAAATTTGAGACCTGGTAGTTAGCAAGTCACAAAAGCAAAAAGAACTCTTGTCTGCCATTTTGAATATACTGAATAGAGATCACCATAGATATTAATCGATTGTCGTTTTTTTATATTTTGTAAGCAACTCAAACACGAAAAGGTTAAAAATAAATAAATTTTACATACATTTCGTTAATATTATGAAACGAAGTCAACATATATTTTTATTTTTTATTGATAATTATGTTTTTTGACTATGTTATAGAAAATTTAACATTTGTTATCGACATATTTATTTTCATTCAAGTACAAAAACATCTCTGAATAATGAAATGTAATAGAGTTTGTGACTATCACTTACAGAATAGCAAAATCGTCTCAAGTCTCAAAAATTGTCTCTGTCAAATTTAGAGACTWGATACTGTATCACAGTACAGAATCGCACGGTAAAAGACGTTTACGAAAAAAATGGCAACCAGCAGAGATCCAACTGACAAGACTATTCTAAACAAAGCCACAAAGGAGCTAAAAGAAAAATTAGCTGATTTCAAAAATAAATCAATATCTGAATATATTGTGAGTTTAAATTACATATAGAAATAATGAAGACCATAAGATATGGAATGCTATTAAATACATAAAACGGCCTAAAAAAAGAAATGTACCTATCAAAGACAGTAACAACCTTTGGTGTAGAACAGATAAAAGTAAAGCTAATGCATTTAGTAAATACCTCGAAGTAACTTTCACTCCTTTTGATAACAGTGGCAGGAACAATGATGCTGAAATATTAGAATTCCTTGACATAGCATGTCAAATGTCTTTACCTCTCAAGCATATTACACCCGCTGAAATACGTTCTGAAATTGAGAAATTGTCTAACAAGAAAGCCCCAGGATATGACAAAATTGATGCCAAAATGCTTACCTAAAAAAGGAATTATGTTGCTAACACTTATATATAATCCTATTTTAAGCACACATCGTGCTGAAATTGAGGTGGTGCCTAAACCAGCTAAATCTGAGAACGAAATTACTTCATACAGACCAATCAGTTTGTTGTCTCTATTCTCAAAAATATTTGAAAAAATATTTTTGCGCAGAGTATTGCCAATACTAAAAGAGAATAAGTTGATACCTGAACACCAATTTGGGTTTCGTCGATATCATGGTACTCCCGAACAATGCCACCGTGTAATTAATTACATTATTGATGCTTTAGAACGTAAAGAATATTGTTTAGCTGCATTTTTAGACATACAATAAGCATTTGATAAAGTTTGGCATTATGGTCTACTATACAAATTAAAAAAAGTATTCTCCTCTCAAGTATATCAAATTCTCAAGTCCTATTTAACAAGCAGGTCGTTTTATGTAAAGATAAATGACGATACGTCTGACATAAAATACATAAATGCAGGAGTACCACAGGGAAGCGTTCTTGGCCCTGTACTATACACTATCTTTACATCTGACATTCTTGAAACTGAAAATGTATTAATTGCTACTTACGCTGATGACAATGCTCTATTGTCGTCAATTCAGACGCCAATTGAAGCAACTAATTTCGTGCAAAGAGAATTGAACCAGATACAGACTTGGTTAGATTGCTGGAAAATGAAAGTAAACGTGAGTAAATAAGTACACGTTTTATTTACATTAAGGCGAAGCGACTGCCCTCCTTTGCTTTCAATACTATTCCTAAAAGTGATAGCGTTAAATACCTCGGCATGCACTTGGACAAACGACTAACATGGAAACAGCACATATAAGCCAAAAATAAACAATTAAAAATAAAAACCAAACAACTTTATTGGCTCCTTGGATATACATCGCAGTTACATCTTGAAAATAAATTACTATTATATAAATCTATACTAAAACCTATATAGACATACGGTGTGCAACTTTGGGGCACTGCTTGTAACTCAAATATTGAAATTCTACAAAGATACCAATCGAAAACTCTAAGATTAATTACAAACGCGCCTTGGTTCATAACAAATAAAGCCATTCATTCAGACCTGAATATACCTTTTGTTAAAGATGAAATTAAATAAATAGATTGCAAATAAAATGTATTTAACAAAAAAAAAAAAATATATATATATATATATATCGATTTATAAAGTTCACTACTATCAAAAAATCAGCAGAAAAAAATTAAGAATAATTTCCTAGGTAAAACAAAAAGTTCCTTATTACAAAGATGTCAAGTAGACAATTGTAATAGAGTGGTCGCTGTAGGTAATTTTCCAGATGGTCGTGAACTGCATTCGAAAAGAGAGAGCACCATGTCCAAAATATTGGCGACTTCGTACATGGTTATACCAATAGTTTATGGACGAAGCCATCGAGCTTCTGCGGGCTCATTTCTGGGAGATAGTTCGATAAGTTCAATGTCTACCCGTGATCGAATACAAGCCATTCCGCGAGGATTGGCGTATCGCCAAACAGCTATTTACGGCAGGCGATGGCCTCGTTCGAGAGATTCAAGTCTCCGGGAGCGGATTTTTTTTTATATTTTTTTATTTATGTTGTAACTATTTTGCATAACAACAAAATAGGAAAGTATAGCATTGTCGAGTTTTACAGTTAACTGTAATTTAAAAAGTATAAATAGTGTACTTAATGACAAAATGATATAATATATAGTCAAATGGTTTCATAAAAAAAAGCATTGAGTTTGAAAAGCCTAATAAGTAGTTATATTAACTTAATTAGATCTGTGAAATGAATATTTGTATCAATTATGAATTTATGTAGAAAAATAGGTTGAGCAAAACATTTTTCAGGAGAGGAAAGATTATGCCTCCAAAATTTGCAAAGAATTGGTCACACGCAAATGAGAATTGCAAACATTTTGAATATGTTCGAAAATTTTGTGTTTGATGCCCTTAAATTTGCGAAAAATAGAGCGACCACAAAAAATGCATAAGTTGATCAAAATATTGCTAGATTCTCGAGGCGCGACCTGATTAACTCCGCTGCAGTCATACAAAAAGAATTAGGAACACAAATTTCTTCAAGAACGTTAAGTGTGACGTTAAGCAGACGACTTGTGGAGAAAAATCTCTGTGACACATTGTCCCGAAAGGTGCCAATGCTGAGAAAACGGTATTCATAGAAGCACTGTTATTCCGTTTCCATATCGACACATTTATCGTGCGATTCTGTACTGTGATACAGTATCAAGTCTCTAAATTTGACAGAGACAATTTTTGAGACTGTAAGTGTCACAAACTCTATTACATTTCATTATTCAGAGATGTTTTTATACTTGAATGGAAATAAATATGTCGATAACAAATATTAAATTTTCTATAACATAGTCAAAAAACATAATTATCAGTAAAAACATAAATATATGTTCACTTTGTTTCATAATATTAACGAAATTTATGTAAAGTTTATTTCTTTTTAACTTTTTCGTGTTTGAGTTGCTTACAAAATATGCAATCGATTAATATCTATGATGATCTCTATTCAGTATATTCAAAATGGCAGACACGAGTTCTTTTTGGTTTTGTGACTTGCTAACTACCAGGTCACAAATTTGAGGCAATATTTTGAGACTAAAGCTAGAGACTATTTACTGAATAGTAACTAGTCACAAATTGAGATTTTACCACAAAATGTCTCAAATAGAGACTAGAGACTGATTACAGAATCCCGCTATTTTTATGCTATGTTCGTACCGACATTGAAAACATCTTAAAAACACATTTGTGGGTTGTGGAATCTAAGTCGTTCGGGCCGACAATGTGTGTTTTCGATGAGTTTTCAGTGACAAATATTAAAAGCGGTATTCTCTTACTCTTGCAAGATTGCACGATGACACAAAATGCAAAAATCCTTTACCGAAATATGCAAAGCCAAGAGAGCACCCATTGCAGAATCTAGTGATATATGATGGCAGGAAAATAAACATGGGTTTTGGTCTGACATATTTTACAGCCATTGCAATCAATTTTCTGCGTGTGTTTGTTGTTATGCCGTTGCACCAAAGGGAACATTCTGCAATTTCTACACGGTGCAAGATTTTGCAAGAGCAAGAGAATCGCCCTCATATGAGAATATCAAGCGACAGCTGTATTTGTATGTGGATTGTAAACAAATATCAAGTGACAATTTAGGGCCGGCAAAACATGTCTTCCAAAAACATCGATTAAACTAGAGCAGACACCGAATATAATGAGTGGAATGTAAGTTTTCAATTAGTTTTCCGCGAAAACTGTGTTTTCGTTTGACAGATTTTACATGGACGAAAACACAAGTTTTCGTGCGAAAACCAGTTTTTGCCACGAAAACATGTTTTCATTGTCGGTCCGAAAACAGTATTAGGGTGAAGCTAAAAAATAAAATAAAAATTCGGCATTCTATGATCTGAATGCAACATTACAGCAGGAACAGTGAAAAACGTAGAATCCGAACCCGACTCAGCTGATTCGTTCTATCTTATGGGCGCGCAATGTAAGTGCACAGTGAAAAACGCTACTCCCTTCTCTCTTTGACGTAGGATGACGTGAGAATTCACGGCATTTGGATTTTTGCTCTGGAAACGTGGCAGCTGATTGCTCTCTCACAACGCAGAGTTGCCAATATCTATATACTGTAGTAATTATCAACTGTTATAATTCAATCTGTTCAATATGTTTGAAATTTTCTAAAATAAA